TTTTTTTTTTTTTTTTTGGAGACAAAATCAATAAGGTTTTCACATATCCCATCTTGAAAACGCATCCGTTGCATTCTTCTGGATTCAGGTCCGACAGCTACCATGATTTCTGTACTGCACAGTTGTTTAAGAATAATCCAGATTTAGCATGGCCTTGCTCTCGCATGCGGACTAATAGACCATATACTTAATTTGATCAGTCACATCTACAAAAATGTATGGATCGCCTCCTTTAGATCACGCAGTAAATGCAGGGCCTACAGAAGGCTCTTCTGCAAATCTAGAAAAAAAGTACCGGCCGCTACTGGAGGACGAACACTTCAAGTTTCCATCGCACCGTCGGCCGTCTGTCCGCCAACATTTTTTTCAAGGCCCCACTTCAGCACCTGCAGTGGCCTATAACAGTGAAGATTACTTTAGCTGGGCTGCTGAATCATCGATACCGCTGTCTAAACCTTCAGAAAATATGGCGGTACATGTGCAAGCTCTGGGGCCCCAGCCACCAAATGGAACCAAACATGGAATTCAAACAACAAGGCTACCCCGCAGATATCTGGCTCATAAGATACGACATCGTTCAAACTTATCGCACTCGTATACAGATGAGATAGATGTACCCTTGCTGGGATCCTTGTTTGCGAGAGATGATCAAACATACGTCTTTGGGCTGGAACCTCTTACGGCTAAGACCTCGTTGCAAAAGACAGAGGCTTTGGGTCCCAAACCCAAACTGAAAAAACCGGGTTTCTTCCTCAAGTTAGACAACTTAAATCCAGCCCAGTCTTCCTTGCATAAAGCACAGCATCAGCAACGGAGACTTGCAAAACCCATGTCCGGGTCAAGTCAAGGCTCTGCTTACGACAAGATGGATTTACTCGAATCAGAAGTAAGTCTTCAACAAAGCAGCGGTGGCCGCATCAAAGAAAGTCACGATAATATAACCCCTCTACTGTTTCCTCCTACTTCAGAGGATCTTGGATATTTCGGGAGTTTTGATCAAACTGATATCTCGTCTACTTTCGAGACTGAGGGTTTACCAGGGGGCTTTCTAAATGTTACATCCAAAATCCAGGACCCGCTTGGTAATTCGGGTACCAGCGGCAATAATAGTGATATTGATAGCTATCTCAATTTTCAAGTTGATGATTTTGCGCCTGGGCATCCTTTCGATAAGAACCAGTTTCAGTTCCATGGCCGTGAGTTGAGTGAAGAAATGGAAAACACAAAGGCGGAGGCCCACTTCACCCCCATATCTGAGTTTCATCAGAATAACGCTTATCATAACACTTTTGAGGGAAATCCTCCTCAGAACGACCATCATTCCAGTCATCGTCTGCATCTTGACCACCATGATAATCAATTCGTGGAGGATCATAAACTGGATCATGTCCTAAATTATGATCACAATTATGGCCAGAACCATAGCTTCAACTATGATCAATTAAATCACAGCCCTCATCAACTCAATGACGAGCACATGCATCGAGAGCAATTTGAACATTCATACACGAACATGCCTCAAGGTCATGAGGGACACACTTACGATATGCAACGTCTACCACTTCAGCAGACAGAACACAGTAAGCAATACATTGAACAAGTTCCACACTCTTCATATGAAGACTACTTGTATGAGAAGCAGCAATCTTATTTATATCTGAAGCTCAAACCTGGTCAGGGTATGGGAGGGGAGTCACTTTCAGATTCTCAGGCCGCTACACAAGCAGTAGAATCATCTGACACAGACCAATTGGGCACAGATAAGAAAAACATATCGAAAAAAAGGAAAGGTGTCAAGGGGATTGTTTGTAACATCTGCGGAAAACTGATTGTGCGGGATTTCAGTCGCCACATTCGTATACATGACGAAACAGGAAGGTTCCAATGTATATTCCCATCCGGATATTGCAAGCACAAGTCGAGAAAATTCAATCGGCCTTACGACTACAAAAAGCATTTGCTAAACATCCATTTTACATTTGATGATCCAGCAGCGAAAGCGGCACCAAACTTGACAGAGAAACTCCATTTTCGTGGACAATGCAATGCTTGTGGAGAGCGATTTATGGCCAATGAGTGGTTAGAGACGCATATTCTCACGACAGACTTAGCGATGAAATGCCACGAGCTACAGCGCATCGAGAGCTTGGTCAAAAATTATTAGGAAATATGACACTGATTTAATGTTTTAGAGGAATTTTTACGAGACGACAAAGTGGATCGATTATGCAGTCATCACACGCTCAGACAAATGCGACTCGGAGAGTATGGAAATCATGAAGTGCAGAATGTCTATTAAAGACTTTATTTCTGCGGCCTTATGTCAAAACGCTGGTGAATGAACTAGTCGTACGATGCTTGGTTCAGATATAATCACTCAATGATAAGGCTAAGTATTAACTTAACTAATACGAAGAGAGTATGATATTTGTGCCAAATCAGCTTCTATAAGAAGGGTCTCGGGTACGTATTTTGTATTCAATCATACGCTCAAACCGATAGGCTTACTTCGCGCAATAAGTTTTGAGCGCGGGTGGCTTTTTCTTCATGTGCACGTACGAGCTCGAACATCTACTTTTTTGGGAATTGATAAATGCTCGCGTCTGCGCAAAGATCTACAGTGCCGAGAAATGTTTAAAGCCGTATAAAAGCCCCAAAGAGTTCTCATTATGGCTTCATTAGTGTAACACAATTACATTAAAAAGGTCTGATTTAAAATGAATATGGACACTATGGACATGGCGTCCTCAACAACCCTGATGGATATGAGCATGAGCAGCATGACTGGCATGAGCTCCCTGACCGCCAGCATGGACATGTCAGACATGGACATGGACATGTCCTCCATGTCAATGAACATGTATTTCTCTCTGGCATACGAAGGCTATCCTGTCTTGTTTAAAGGTTTTTCTGCCTCTAACGCAGGTCAAGCCTTTGGAATCTTCTTGTTATTCTTCGTCGCCTCATTCGTCACGAAAGGGTTCGAGTTCGTTAAAGTGTATCTCGAGCTGAAGGTTTGGAATAACCCTAACTACCAGACTCCACAGGTGACAACAATTGCCGGGGACTGTGGATGTGACGACGAGAATGAGAAAGTGTCTGATGCCAGCGAGGGTTACACGCCAACCGGCAACCAAAAACAATCATCTATTCTTACGGTTGTGGGAAGGGACACTATTAGAATTGTCCTTTGCTTTTTAATTGAGATGTTCGGATACGCCATGATGTTGGTGGCAATGACTTTTAGTTTGGTTTACTTTTTTGCCGTTGTGCTTGGAATGGCTTTCGGCCGCGTCTTTTTCGAGAAATTGAGCGAAAGATTAAACATTCGTCCAGGGGCCAACAATTTTCAGGGCCATCATTGATAGAAGAAGTATACATTTGATTCACTTTCAGTACTAAAGAGTTCTTTTAGATTAATTTGATTTCTTTAGAAGTTTAAGTTTTATGTGAGTAGGTCGCTGACTTTTTTGACAAGCTCGCTATACCTTGTCTTGTTGAAAGAGGTCACATTAGCACTCGTTAGCTTCTCACTATACATCAACCTCAAAAGATTCAAGATTTCGCCCTTGGTAAAGGGTAAAGTCTCCTGCGATATTTTCTGCAATAAATTATGCTCACTCAAGGTAAACATTTCGAAGTATCTGGATGAGTCACTGAGATCAACTTTGTCTTCTTTACACACAACACTTCGAAGCATTTGTTGAGTTGTAAAGATATTCAAGATGATTCGCTTGATGCCGTTTTGATTGATGACAGACACCAGCTCACTGCCTTTTACAAAAGCTCGGCTAATGTGTTCCGAAAGACCCGTGAGTATAAAGTTCCTTTCTTGTGTGTTTAATACCTCGCCAATCTTGGCTCCAATATAGTACACTTCTCTGTTGAGCAGACTAATGAAGGCGTCTGAGTCTGCAGGTTCTGTAGTTAAAATGAAGTTTTCCTCAAAAGATTGACTGATGTGATGCATTGTCTTCAATCTCAAATCATAGCGCAAGGCAATAAGCGCGTTTTTCCTGATTGTCTCAAATGTTTTAATCACATCATTAAAAACGTTCATCGAGTTCAGATCAAGCGTCAAATAAACATGATATGGTTTTTTCATCGCGGAAGTTGGAGCCCTTCCATTCTCTAAGATGATGAACTTCTGTCTCAATTTGTTGATCTCCAACTCACCTTCATCGGTGCTACTCAAATTTGAGACTTTTTTCATGGATGGGAGCCAAGTTAAAACCCATGAAGATGTTTTCAAAAGAACACAGACATGGTGAAAGGAATCATCGTCTAAAAGATCATCTTTCGAAACTTCTAATGCTCGTGGCCCCGAAACAGTTTCGTAGAACATCAAATCACACTCTTTTGACACTTTTGAGCTCTTTTCATCTTGTTTGTCTTGTTCTTTGATCAATGTCTCGGTCAAGTTCGTTAGAACAATGGCATTCATCCATTTATTAAGCCTCAGTTGCTGCGTTCGTTCTTCGTTAATTCCTAGGTTGATTTCCGTGATATCGTGAGATCCACCTGTGGCAAGAAGCTCTCGATAATAATCGTTGTAAAAACCTGAAAATTTTTTGAGTATTTCAAGGATTAAATCACTAAACTCCTTACGATAACTGAAAGAGGTATTCAAGGTGAAGCACGCACTGCTTAAGATCTGTTCAAACTGAACCGCATTCAAATAAACTCGGAGATTTCTTGACGGTTTTGATTTATCTGATTCATCGAAATCAAAGTCTGCCTCGCTCAAAGATATAATCTCCTGATTAAAGCAAAGCGTCTTCTTATTATGGCTTTTTCTCAATTCCACTCCCATATCATTCGTCATGCAACCATCAAAGGCAAGATTCAATTGTTCTTTTATTCTCGCCAAGAATGACTTATGCATGACATTTTGATAAAACTGAAAAGGAGGAGTGCTTATGCTTTTTGTAATCTCGAAATCGAGAAAAAGATTGTTGGCACCACTTATGAAGACAAGAAAGTATTCCAAAATAATTCTCATGTTGAAAATATTCCTGGGAACCAAAGCGTCAACAGAGGAGCTTAACCTTTCTGTCGTGATATAAGGCGAGTTTTCAGTGCGCTGAGCCACATGTGATTTCCGAGAACTTATCAGAAAGCCTGGAAACATTTCGTCAAGGACTGCTTTTAACTCTTTGGATGATTCATTTGAGTTGGATCCCGTGGCGTCTTCAAGTCTAAATAATTGTTTTTTTGTTAAAACCTGATTTACTTGACTTGGCACTAGATCGGGTCTCGATGGGCTCAGATCTGTTCTTTCTCCATGTATGTAAATTTCAATAAGATCGTTGATCTCCTTGCTCATTATTGTCCAAGTGGTATGAAAGTCATACAGATGAGCAGATTCCACGTTCAAACCTTTTCGTAAGTATGAAGAGATTTCATCTGTCGAGCGAATCATTTTGACTATTTCACAGGCGATTTTATGCTTCAGCAAGACTATCAAACACCTGAGAAAGAAGGAACCAAAGTATTCCTGAAGTATGTGAACAGAGGAGTCATAGAGACCGTGGCCACTTATAATATCCTGTGAGTTAGTGTGCTCTAAGACTTTTGCCTTCTCTAGTCTTGCTAATTTATGAATATTCAGCAGTTTGCATTCCTCTGTGATCTTATTCGTCATGTATTGAAGTTCCAGGTGCAAGGAATTCAAAAGGATCTGAGTCACTGATTGTAGCTTATTAAGTTTTGAAGCCGTAGATAGTAGCCTGTATATGTAGAAGTATGATGCAGTAGATGGGTTCAGTTTTGATTCTAAGAGAAGCGCATAATTCGGTTTCGAGGTTTTACCTTTTCGATAATGTTGGTGCAATTGGGGAAGTTGCGACTCTAAAAACTTTTTGGTGTTTTCAGTCAAGGACGCAGATATCTCATTTATGTCCAAATTTGCCAGATTGTAGATGTACAGTTCCAATGTGGTCAGACTATTGACAAGTGTCATGAATGAGGTGATTTCTGGATTGTTAGAGTGAATCATATTGCTCCATGATTCCTTCGAGCTCAGAGTGCTCTTGAGGTAAATTTCATTTTGAAGCTCATCAATAATCATGTCGTACAAATTATTTGACTGCACCTCTAAGTAATTTTGTGTTGCATTCATGGAGGATAAGGACCACAAGTTATATCTGGAAGCTGTTTTGTAACCATCTGCAATAACGTCGTAGACCTCATAAATCTTTTTTTCGGTAATAAGCTGGTCAATTTGAGCTGGAATGTCACGCAAATATTCCATTGCATCCAAAATCTCGATCATCTCAGAGTACTTGGTCGAACTTTGGTCTAAAACCTTCAAGGATGCAGACCTATCTCTCATATCCTTAGTGCTTGTCTCAATAAGATCTTTGATGACTTTAGAGTCCAGCTGTGAGTCTTTGGCAATGGAAATGAGCTGGTGATACAGTCCTATACTGTTGTTAAACGTTTCGTGGTTTTCAACCACTGCTGCCTTAAGAGCCTGTCCAGTTGTTTCACAAAGCTCATCGAATTCACTTTTTCGATGCGCCAAACCAACAGATGTATCGTCCAAGAGCGAGATTGCCAATTCAATCGGCGTCACCTCACCCTGGATCAACTGCGGCCAATCATAATGTATATCTTTATAAACAGATTTGAGATCAGCCAACGACTGGAGACTTTTCTTCATCTCGTCATCCGATACATTGCCTGAGAAGGCCATGCTTGTTGCACGGTGACGGTTTCTAATCATTCTTGAGATTCTGCTGGCTAATTGGTGATAATCGAAACTGTTCTGGCACAAGTCAGCCTCAGTTGTAAGGTCAAGGTAATGTCGGATGCACGGGTGTGTTTTGGGACTTTAAGTGAAGCTTTGAATGGTTTGGTAAAGACCAAATTCTTTAGATTTCACAGTTTTTGCCGCTGAGGTCAAGCTGCTTTCAGAAATAGTCAAACTGAAAAAAATATACAATTAAATGATCGAATATGAATGATACATATAGGTGTGTCTGGCTGCGTCTATCAGTAGCGACATTGAATAGGTTTGGCGCGTCGCATGAAGCACGTGTTTGGTAAATGTGCAACCGAAACAACAGACTCGTATATGGTGCATCATAATGAGGGAAGTGATTGAGTTACTGAGTGATCCGATAGAACCAAGTCAGCTCCCTGGATGGCCTCAGCTGGAAGGAGATATTATAGAGTATGTATTTGCCTTTCATAATGAAAGTCTACCGCACTCGGTACTAACCATCGCAGATTGAGTGATGAGGTGGAGTCGGAAATCATTAAAAAGAATACAACTTGTGGTGAATCTTTACCGAATATTTTGAGCTGTGAATCCTCGCGTGTTAAACCTCTGCGTTGTTTATCGAGTGAAAACCTCTTGGATTTGGGCAATTGGGTAAGCTCGGATGAAGAATCTTTCAATGTCAGTCTACGATATACACCACTCAAAATTTCAAGTACTAAACCAGAACACTCTGTACTCCAACCGCAAGATCCTCTTGTTCAATTACTACCATCGTCTCCTGTTGCGGAGCGTATATTAGAACTAGAACCACATTCGAACCCCGAGATACTGCGGCAGACAATCCATCAGGAGAATCGATCATTAGAGTCGACCTATGAACTCATTGGGTCATCTAATGAGCTTTTCAAAGTAACTGCCTCTCTAAATGCCCTGGGAAGCGTTCTCACCACGCTGGATATCGTGAACAAAAAACGTAGTATTCGGGCGATGAGTACGATTTCAGATCCTATTGAAAGCAGCTCGCCCATGAAATCTCCACCTCCGCGGAAAAGAGTCAAAGCTTTGAACTCGAGAGAGAAAGCCACAAATGATCACTCCAAAGCTTGGAAAGCTGCTAATAAAGCTATCAGGAGGAAGCAGGATATTCTTGGTGAAATGGTAATTGAGATCGCCCTTTGCCTCGAAAAAAAAATTGAAACCGAATACTTCAGAAGTATTTTTGTACAACCTACGGTAAGGAGCTCGTATCTTGAGCTTCCTTTGATATCCTGGAAAAGAAGAGTGACTGCAAAATACAATAAGCAAGATGATACATTTGAACCTTGTGAATTGACAGAACTCTCCGAAAGAGTGTTCATACTATTTTATGAAGCTGAAGAATTGATGATAAAGCTCAAAAGTGGTGTTGTATCAAGCGATATAGAAAGAGTTAAAAGCCGAGCAAAGCTGCAGGGCGTGGAAAACGATGCCTTTTTGCTCCTCATGGTACCTAGCTTCAGCGAATACTTGCGAAAATTACAAGCAGTGGAAAACAGACAATATCGTGCTAAGACGCTTGAGCACCTAAATCCGTCACAGGTTGGAGGCTCTCTGAAGCTACGTGAGACAAATGTTATGTCGGCTTCGGAAGCTCTGATGCTACTTATTGAAAGCGAGGTGAATTTGAGCATTAATATCTTCACGCCAAGATCCATAGAAGAGGCTATTGATTGGCTTCATTCGTTTACTTACACCATCGGAAGCTCCATCTACGATAAATTTGAAAGAAATCCTGAATTTGCAAGCATAGGGGCTGTCCGTCTGGGGTCAACTCCAAAAGGTATGTTCCTTGAGATGGTGAAGAAGTTTAACTTGATGACAGACCCCAAAGCTGAGAATCTATACCAATATTACGCTTCCCCGTTGAGCTTGTACAAAAGATTTTTGGAAAGTGATGATCTTGGAACTGTGCAAGGGAAGAGTATTGTGCCGCCATCGGTGAATAAGCTTATGAAGAAAGTGTTCACATGCGAAGATCCAAATGCTGTGATTACTGATTAGGAAATGGTATACTTATAACCCGGCTTGTATTTATATATAATTATATCAAGTTACCCCAAATTAAGCGATGATCCCCCGCACGGAAATGAAGTCATCCTGAGAAAGTTTGTCCTCCAATGGCTGGATGGTGCTCATGTGTACTTTCAAATTTTCAAGCTCAGCGTCCGTGAAGGCAAAATTGAATTGCTTGAGTTGTGAGATCACATTAAGAGCTTTATCTATGCAAGAAGTTTGGTATTCGGGGCTCAAAATTTCAATAAGACATTTAGGCATATCAAGACTGCGGACCTGCTCCGATCTTTGTGCGCTCGAGCCTGTCGACAACACTGCCGAGATTAAAGATAATTTTCTGAGTAGCGATTTATGGTCTTTAAGACTTGACACTAAATTGATACATGCCAATCCGTCGGAGCTGATGAACTTTGATGCTGCATCCTCATTGTTTCTTATCAAGCTGGCCAATGCAAATGTGGATTTCAAATGTAATTCTTTTGGGGTATCAGAGTTGGACGCAAGCTCGATGAGTTTCTTAAGACCCCTTTCTTGTTTGGCAAAAGCAACCTGACTAGGTGTATTGTTTTGCGTTGCGATAGCAATAATTGAAGCGGACAAGACCTGGAAAGTCTGGTTCTCGCTGTGCAACTGGTCGATGACTGCAGGCCAAAGCCTCATGTTTTCGATGTTGTTGGCATTGTCGAGATTCTCAATGAGCATCTCAAAGTTCTCCAAAGCTATTTCCTTATCTTCGTCAGTAGCTTCTGGATTGCTAGCTACCATCATTGACTGCTTCATGAGCGTAGGCTCATCCGGTCCTCCGAATAGTTGCAGCAACATTTTTGGGTCCGGTTGGCCGATTTTCTCCTGTGTCTCCTTGTCACCCGTCTGTTGTGCAATAGACCATTGTAATAATTTTTCCATTTTGAATCAGACTGTCTAAATTAGTTAGTTGTATGGTGAGTACTCTTTTCAAAGTCCTCTATCATGCTAAAAGGTCGGAGGAGATGGGCTGGTGTGCAGGATATTCTAGAAAATTCGGGGTCGTTCTGGGTGAATCTAGGAAAGGCAAAGGGCTTGCGTGCCTAGATTACATTGGAACTTGCACAAAAGAACGTTTCTTTTCAAATTCACCTAACTGCTTGGTAGTCGTTGCACTGGACCGGATCAAATGCAATTTGAGCTTGTTGCATGTCAAGCGAGTATTTCCCATGATTGCATGAACGAGGTACCCCATTTACATGCGCTTACCCGGGCGATAGGCTGTACAGGAAAATATGGCCCGGAGTTTTCCGCGTCAATAGCCCGACCACCGGGCTCCAAGACGAAATTTCATTGAAAACAATGCCAGCTATAAACAAGTGAAAATTCCGTTGCAGAACAAGACGAGAAGAATTCTATAGCTCAAGAGTATCATCACTTGTGAAACAAAAAAAAAGTCCATAGTCTTGGAATTTTAAGCTTGAGTGGAGTAAAATGAATATAGTATAAGGCCCGTAATTTGAATATTGTAAACGAATTTGTCGGTCAATCCCAAACTGTTTTTCTGCAGAGAGAAAACAAAGAATTTTAGAAATTCTCCGCTCTAGATAGAGACTTCATCCCTCAATTCTATACAACACTTCAGATGAGTGACAATTTTGGTGCAAGCTCTCTCTATTTTAGCCCCAGCAATCGAATTGCTAATTGTTGGCAAAATGGTGTGGTTTCTAATGGTGCGACGGAGGATGGTAATCCGCCGAGTCAGAACTCCGAGCGAGCGAGAGCCTGTCAGACATATATAAACCCGCAACGTGCGCACCCCGCCTGCGTTTCAAAAAGCAGAATTCGTTTTTATCTATTTTCACAACCAGGTAAACAATTGATACGCCTACTTGAATACACAATGTCTTTGTCTAACAAATTGTCTGTTAAGGATTTGGAGCTCGCCAACAAGAGAGTCTTCATCAGAGTCGACTTCAACGTCCCTCTTGACGGCACCACCATCACCAACAACCAAAGAATCGTTGCTGCTTTGCCTACCATACAAGTACGTTTTGGAGCAAAAGCCAAAGGCCGT